ACAACTTATTAATGAAAGAGCATCTTTTTAATTATTATTTTAAGATCTCACTTTGATAGTAATTAACTGAGAAATCTTATAAGCTTAGATGGAGAAGAACTTGAGGGATCTCTTAGTGAAACAGCCTCACTTTAGAGAAAAGAACACAAGAAAACCCATCTAAACTGCCTGAGGTCACACAACACAATTAGTCTGAGCCGAGAAAGAGTCTGGTCTCCGGACGCATCGGGAGCACGGCTGTTACCACCCATCTCCCTGCGATGTTCTCTGAGCCTTAGAGTGTCAGAAACAGCCCTTCTCTTGAACCTAAATGTGTGCGATCACCATGACGTTTGCTCAGTGAGCAGCCTTTGCCCAGCCTTCACCACCTTCACACCTTCCTTCGCTGCAAAGCCCAGTGGGCACTGCTCTCCACTCCTCCTGACGCTCTGGGCTAAGGACTCCCAGTCCGGGGCTGCCCCTGAGCTGCGGCTTCTGCCCATTGAGCTGTCAGCGCAGGTCCACGAGTTATCCCTGCTGTCTCTGTGATGTTAGTCACGTAATTTAATGAAATATTATGTAAAATAATGAAGTTTTTAGTAGAAGAGGAGAGTACTTACATGGAGGCTTCAAAACGCTCATGGGAAATGTGTACTGTGAAAGCTGTGCCTATTTTAATGGATACTTAAGTTCCATTTTTCCATGAACTTTTGGAGGTCCCCTGATATTTCTATGAAAACTAAGTCCAGGGACCAGCAGTTAGCGTAATGGCTATGTCGCTGGACTCCCATGTAGTCGACCGCAGTTCGAGTCCTGGACCCAGTGGCTTAAAACTCAAGCCGGGTGCGTGTGTGTGTGCCCAAGATCCCGAGAGGAGAATGGAGGAGAAGGGATTGGGGCGTGGTCATTCCCCCTGGGGGATGATTTCTTACTTTCTGTTTCTCTGTCTCTCTCTGTCTGGTGAGCACGCGCACCCTATAGCAAAAACCTCTCCAAAAAAAAAAAAAAAACAACTAAGTCTAATTGGGACCAGCAGATGGCATGGCAGTTATGTCACTGGACTCTCATGTGGCCAATCATGGTTCAAGTCCCAGCCTCAGTGACTTGAAAGTCATACGAGGCACATGTGCGTGTGTGCCCAAGATCCCAGGAGGAGAACGCAGGAGGGATTGCAGTGCGGTCATAACCCATGGGGATGATTTCTCACTTTCCCTCTCACTGTCTCTTTCTGTGAAAAGTTCACACTTTAAAGCAAAAAGCTCTAAAAAAAAAAAAAAAAAGAAAGAAAGAAAGAAAAGAAAAGAAAGAAAGCTAAATCCACATATTTAAAAAGGGCTCTTAGATGGTGGTGCTTTGTTTTAGACAATAGTTGTCCCTTTTGGAATTTGTGCTCAGTGGGCAGTGAGCAGATGCCCTCCACAAGTTCACGTGTTGGGACGAGGTTGTCCAATAAAGACATTAAGTGCAAACTTTATTCCTTCCACTGCCCTAGGGCGGGGCCTGTGGTGTGCCAAGGTCACCAGGGCAGGCCCATCAGCCCCGCGTACACGCAGCAGAGGGAGGGCGGCAGACGGACAGGCAGGGACTCAGGCTCTGCTAAATGAACGCTCCACCTTCTGCCATGTGGTGATGTCTTTGCACTCTGCAGCCAAGTCCATCCCAAATCATGGGTTCCACAAATAAACCTTTATCTTCTTCATAAACCACCAAGTCCCAGGTTACAACGTAGTCACGGACTAAGACAGAAGGAGACTCAGACGTGACTATCTGGCCCAGCGGTAGCAGTGTGGGCTGCTAAGACGCTGCCATGGGCTGGGGCCACATGAGAGCCCCAGCTGGATTCCTGGTCTGCCGTAAAGGCTGGGCTCAGAGGCATGCGCCTGTCATGCTGCAGGCTTGCCTGGGCCACATAGCAAGAACTATCTTTAAAGGAACCAGCAGATAACATAGCAGTATGTCACTGGCTTCACACATGGTCAATCGCGGTTCAAGTCCTGGACCCGATGGCTTGAAAATCACACTGGGTGCGTGTGCATGCATGCTCAGATCCCAGGAAAAGAACAGAGGAGAAGGGATTGTGGCATGGCTACCCCTCCCGTGTGGGGGCATTTCTCTCCTTCCCTCTCACTTTCCCTCTCACCGCATCTGTCTCTCTCAGGAGAGTGCATGTGCCCTAAGGCAAAAACCTGCAAAAACAACAAGAAAGACAATTGCTGCTAATTAGTTGCATATTAATGATAATAAAACTATAATACAAATGCTGGGGGTTAAACAAACACGTAGGAGGAACTTGTATGCTGCTCATGTGGTCACGTCTCTCAGAGTAAATGTGTAATCATGGAAGACCCAGTAAGCACAGGCCAGGCCAGGACGGGTAACCCGGCTCTGTGCTCAGCAGGCCAGGCCAGGACGGGTAACCCGGCTCTGCGCTCAGCACATCCGTGCTCAGAGCAGCAGAAACAAGACAGGGAAACGCACTTTCCACACGGCCCACCGGACAGAGCCTGCGCGCTCTCACACATGTGAAGTCAAAACCCGTGAAAGGTGCACATCCATTATTTCTAGCTGACTTTTACACAGTCTGCCCTGATTACATAAAATCTGAAGTTCAATGCTACAGGTCAGCACCGACTTTGTTGATTTATTGATACCTGCCTTGCCGCTCCTAGCAGCGATGGAAGTGTTTTAAAAATAAACCTCTAAAGCCACACTTGTAAATGGATACAAAAAGAGAAGAAATAAAGGGGAAGAGTAAAGGAAGACTACATAAATGAGTAAATTCCGAGATCTGAAGACATGACGCCATCATCCGCATCGTCAGCTCCGGCGAAGCTGCAATCTATAGATTAGAAGGTCGTGACTGTAAAAACCACTGGAATTGATTTATTCTGTGCTTGTAGCTGTATGAGTCACGGTGGTTATTTAATAAATTTGCTGAGTCAAAGAGGAAAGGCAGACACCTAGGACAGTTTAAGCAAAAACGCAACTAGGCTCCTCCTCCTGACCACTGGACAACCCATCTCCCATCCTCACCCGCAAGAGGGGTCCTCCTCCTCCTTTCTCTCCCCATTTCTCTCCAGTCTCCCCCTCCTCTGTCCCTCTGGGGCACCAGGACACCCAGAGTTCTGGTTCAAACATTCCCAAAGGCAAGGAAAGTGATTCTCGGCTTGGGCTGCCCAGGATCCCACGTGCATTGAGGAGCCAACAGAAAGGCAGGTGGCGAGTGCTCAGTGCCGACCCAGGGCTGCCCGCCTGAGCCCAGGCTCGCTCCACATCAGCCACTGGGAGGATGGCGGTGGCCAGCAGCAGAGACCACTGCATCTCACAGTAGAACCACAGGTGGTGCTGCCGTGGCCGTGCCACTGGACCCACGCCTGGGATATCCCCTGCACGCAGGCACACACATGCCCCTGCAGTCTGGACTGGCTGGGGGTGGAGGGGGTGGAGATGCTATGGCGTGTCGTCTCCCTCTCCCTCTCCCTCTCTCCCTGATGAAAACAAATAAATAAACTTAACAACAACAAAAAAGGAAATGAACATGTGTACTAATAGGTTCAGATACTAATGTGAATTCTGTCCGAGCAGTTAAAGCTATAAATTACGTAGCCAAGTGTTAACACTGGGCCTTCTTTGCAAAAGCGAGCATGTAGATATTGTTACCCCCTTATATGTGAGAATGTGTCTCATGCACATATACAATATCAAACTGTGGAAATGCATGACACATCTGCATGTTCGATACATGCATCCATACATACAAATATGCGTATGTGACTAGACAAGTAAAGAGACATAAATATACAAATTAGAGTATTAAGCAGTTTGGATTTGCAGCTTTCTCCTGGAAAGGACGCGGACTTGGGAGTCGCAGAGATCGGGATTAAGTCTCTGTTCAAACACCTGTTCGTACTGAGAGCCTGTGAAAAGTATTAAATGGATTTGTATCTCAGAAACGTATAAAATAAAAAGTAGGACCTCATTCTCACAGTTGCTTAAGGAATGAATCACATGAAATGCCTCAGATCGCTGGGCAGGGCCCGCTGCCTTGAAGGCAGTCATAAACGCCGGCTGCCAGCCTTTTCTCGGACTTATCATTTCATGTCAGGATCAAAATTACATGGCACGTCTCCCACGCCCGTCTCCCACGCCCGTCTCCCACGCCCGGCCCACTGGCCCTGGAGCTGAGAGGCAACCCCGCACCTCGGCAGTGCCTGCCCTGCTCAGCACAGGAACCCCTCAGGCAGGAGTGGCAGCGGGGCTGGCAGAGTGGAATTAAATGCCGTGCGAGCACAGGGCTGAGAAGCAGAGGTGCCGACCAGGTGAGCTGGGGAGGGCCCAGGACCTGAAGCCAGCTGAGACCTCCCCACCCTCTGCACTCCCAGTGTCTGCCACCTTGCCCTCGTGCTCTGTATTTGGCCTTCAATGGACAAGACCTAAGAAAACATTTATTTTCCAAGATTTTAAAAGACCTTAATGATGAATGTAAAAAACAAAGTTATTTTCTGGAAATATTTTTACACTTGTAACTTTGAAGAAAACTCGGATATAAACACTAATACTGACACTGTACTTTACTGAGAGGCATTAATGAGCTGGGGAACAGGGCCGCCATACATTCTGATGATAAACTCAGAGCTGTCTGTTCTTTGGACAAGGAGTCATTCGTTTTCATTTTCGCTGCTTTGCTCTACCTACCCAGGCCTGTGTGAAGGCCAGTTGACTCTGCAGCTGGAGGGCTGATGGCCTTACAGCAGCAAAGGGACTTGCCTGGATTTCCATACACCATGAAGGAACAGAGCAGCGGCCCACCTCTCCGCACTCAGATAGTTACACTTACGGAGGGAAAATCAGAATTTCGGTCGCTGGAGAATCCTTCCTCTGAGATTACACTTCTTCCCCAGTAACAGTTATTAAAGGATCTGCAACAACCTCACGCATCCAAATTCCACCCCTGCAAAATGTCCTTCCAAGCTTCACCTCTCCCAAGTCATGTTTTAAGCCCAGCAGCATTCCAGACTTACTTTTTCAGCTTTTGTCTGATCTCTGAATCTTTCATTTCATTTTGAAGATCCTCAAAGTTCTCAACAAAAGTCAAATTACAGAAAACCCTGAAGTCGACATAGGGCAGGATCCCATGGTCGCGACCCCTTTGGATGTGGACAGCGGCTGAGTCATGGGCGGCAGAACGGGCAGCAGAGGCCAGGCTTCGAGCTAGGCCTGGGGTTGGGAGGCGCTGCCCGCCGCTGCTCAGCCCCCACCCCGAACAGCCCTCGGAGGAGCAGATCGATCCCACCCTCGTCTATTAGCCTGGACGAAGAAAAGAGAGCTTTGTGGAGCGGAAGGTGGCCTTCGGGAATTTCACAGAAAGTGTCATTCAGGCGATACAGGACGGGATTAGTTAACGCGCGGCCCAGTGCAGAGGCTGCAGCGGCGAAGGAGATGATGATGCCGGCGTTCACGGTGGGGTCTAGCCCTGGTACTCACCCAGCACCTTCATGCCGGGCTCCCCCAGGACCTTGGGCAGCCAGTGGCTGTAGGTGATGTGCTGCAGCTGCGTGCCCACGACCTTCCTGGCCTCCTGGTAGAGGGTGTCCCCATCCCAGTGGGGGTTCAGGGTCGACAGCTCGGAGGCCACCCTGTTGTGGTCGCCGAGCCACAGGGTGTGCATGGCCAGCAGAGCCGGCTGCTCGTTGGCGCGGTAGTCCCCTGCCAGGAAGCAGCGCCCGCGTCTGGCCTGGCCAGGGCCTGCTCACCCAGTGGCTGGGGGCGCCGGGGAGGGCTTTCCAGAAGGGGCCCACCGCGAGCTGGTCCTCAGCAGTCCCCACGGCTCCGCATGGTCTCTGAACATCAGAGATTCCCACTGCGAGCTCCCATAAATGCTGGAGGCATCGAGGTAGGCTGTGGGCTGGTTCATCTGCTCCCGGGTATGGACAGAGTTCCTTCCGGAAGAGGTCAGGTCGATGCCACACACTGAGCTGGAGCGTGCCAACGTTCTGCAAGGTGCTTGGGCCCTCCAGGAGTCAGTGCGAGGGTAGTCCACAGGGAGGCAGGGAGGGTCGTGCGAGCAGGCGGAGCTGCAGGGCTTTGCGTCCGAGAAGCACGCGGTGCCCAGCGCCGGCAAGGCGTGGTCCAGGTCGTGCTCCAGAAACCGGCCCCAGTGCATGAGCATGTGTGTGTGTGTGTGTGTGCGGTCGGGGGGCACGGCCGCCATGCCCAACAGCTCCGCGGAG